GCGCACCATCACCTTAAAACTGGACTCTACCTCCACAAGATATTGAAAGTCGTTGGACTTCGTCCTCTTCACGGCCTCCAAGCGCTGAAAGAGTTCACGACACAGTCGTGGAGACAAGCCCTCGTGATCTGGATCACCCGGTTTACCCATCATTGTGTAGGATTTCCCAGAGCCGGTCTGTCCGTACGCGAAGACACAGACGTTGTAGCCCTTCATGGCATGATCCAGAGCCTCTGCACCCATGTCTTCAAAAACTCGGCGCTGACCAGCAAACCGATCGTCCGAGGGCTAAAAGTAGAAAATCTGGTAAACAAAATCGGCTAAAAACGCAGAAACACATGATATATCATCGCACAAGAGTACTTTGGTTGGCACGTGACTAGCGTCACCCTAAGAGGGTATTTCAAATGAGAACGGTAGCCAGGTAAACTTTGGTTGAGAGACTCTTCAATCATCAGAGCTACTAAAACTATAAACTCAAAAACAAAGTGGAATCAGTGTGCCTTTCTGGTGTATTATTAAGACGGAAGAAATGGGGGAAAATCTATTTTACTGTATCTCTTCACAGAAGTTGACGGCTTTTTTAAATAACGCTATTTTCAAAGTTGCAATCCTTAATCCATACAAATGCAAGCCTTTATTGATTGTGAGTCAGCTGTCTCTCAATGGATATATGCAAGGGAAAGGGAATGTTTTATAGGTGGAGAAGAATGCATTTCGGATTTATTCAGCCTTTTTACCCTGTGTAATAAATTTGAAAGACTGATTATGTCACACAGATCGTGAATTCGCATAACTTATATTGCCGAACACAAATACTGGTCCATTTGAAAAAGCTATGTGTATCATTTTCTAAGCTTTAAAACGTCTTCGCAAAGAACAAAATTCGAATCTAAATAATACAAGATTTAAGCGGTGCTCCTTCTCTATCATTATTTACTGAGTGGCTGCAAAAGAAAAGTAAGCTGTGTATCAACTGTTTGTGTTTCAACTGCTTTCTGTTAGTGTTAAAATAAAACAGGGCTGGCCAGATTAGTTCAGTTACATACAGGGTACACATATATAACCAGAAAGTAGGGCAAACTTGAGTTGTTTTTCTTTATTAAGACAAAATGCTGTCATCTTTTTTTCGTTCACTTCCGACAGTATAAATATCTTTCAGAAAATCTTTTCATGGAATCGGATTCAAGTCCTCAAAAGGAAGTGAGGTTGTGCATTTTCGGCGAAATAAAATCCATCAGTGGCATTTAAAATCATAAAATTGCGGGAATGGTTGGACATAGCATATAGCAATCATGAGCTTAGCCTGTCAGTTTTTTTTTCAAGGATGCCAGCAGCCTGTTAGTTAGTTTACCTGAGAATTAAACTTTAACTAAACATTCTTCTATCACTTATAAATATACTGATTCCGTCTGAATGCGTGATATAGCACAAGATTAACTGCATCCATTGGGAAATAAAGTGAATAAAAGGACGTAGTTTGTGATTTATTTTGGGTATGAAGTCTCTACTACATTCCACTGTCTATGGCGAATCTACACAAAGAAGGGAGTGTTTTCAGATTAACAAGCAAACCATTTATGTTCGTCCCCGTATAAATCAATCTCAAACAAGTATCGAAATGCACGGATTCATAGTTATTCTCTGAAAGGATAGAACTCCGTCTAAGGTGTTGCGATTCCACACTAGTATTGATGTGATTGTTTACTCAGTATACACATCAAACATGATTCCACGTAAGAAATGAAAATTACTCACGTCTGTATGCGACCAGTAGCTGTAGTCGAATTGAAATGTCTTGCCCGGGTCCGCCGAATCGTTCTTGCAAATGGCTGAAATAAAGTTAATGACAAACTTAGCTGACTGCCTTATAAACGGTAACCGTTAGAAGCGTTAATAGAAAGAATTTATATCAGACCAGATCAGATCGGGCTTTATAGGGAAATATAGGTAAATTCCTTTGAACACCCTCTTGGTATATAGCAGCTAGGATGCAAAAGCTATGGCGCTGTCAGTAATGGAACTGTGTAAGAAAGAACAGACAGTAAAAAAAACTCCTTAGGCATTGTTCAGAATTCTAGGGGTTTTACTGCCATTTGAGGCCGCCATTATAAAATTGAGGTAGCGAGCAGAATAGCATACCTACAAAGGCGTCAGCCATTTCGGCTATCTCCTTCAAAAGTTTCATCTTCTCTGAGCCACTCACGGGTTGATCTGACAACTCAGTAGCAGCTTGACTATCGGCATTTTCGGTATCGAAATCAACGCCATCGTCTATCATTCCCCAGGCACCAAAAACACGGATGAGACGGTCTTCCAAGGAAGCGAACTCATGTTTCTATGTGATCATACACTGAGTAGGTTAAATACCGTGTAACGGTTGAAACCACCGGTGATTTTAGCAGTATCATGCAGACTTCAATGTGTTCTCACCTCTTCTCGCAACCGATGTCAAGTCATAATCAATAATATATTCAAATGTGTAGTCCTACGTTTCGAATCTGGGCGGATACGTTTCCTTATAATATGACTCCGTACAGCGAAAGTCGTACGCGAGGATACGTTTCTCCAAACGACAGTACTATGTGAACGGGAAACCACTTAATGAAGTGAATACGCACAAAGATCTAGCTATTTGGACAACTTCAAACCCTTTGCACTCTGAACATTCTAGAGGGTCTACCAAAAGGTGACGAGCAACATGCGTTTGATCAGGCGTGCTTTCATAGTGTTTCTGACCGATCTGTTTGTGCAGCTCTTTAGTTCTTTCCTTAGACCACATTTCGAATATGGAATGTCAGCATGGATGCCGTAGATGAAAAAGGACAGTAAGCCCGTCAAGCAAGTGCAACGACGGGCAACGAAACTGGTGGATGGTCTTAGTACTCTGTCTTGGCCCGAAAGACTGATTAAGACTAATGTGTTTTCTCTATCCTATAGACAAATGTGCTGCAACCTGCTATGGACATTCAGTATCATCCACGAACGCTCTTGGTTCTCTGGAACCAGACGATTTCTTTGAGTTTACAAACATAACTCACCCGAAAGACTGAATTAAGCCTTACTGTTTTTCCTCTATCCTATAGACAAATGTGGTGCAACCTGCTAGGGATATTCCTGGTTCTCTGAAATCCGACGATTTCTTTGAGTTTTCAAACATGATTCGCCTGCGCGACAATCTCTTCAGTCAGCAACCATGTAACCACCCTCCCCAATGCGAGGTAGGGACGTCGAGAACCACTGATGCGTTCAAACGGCAGATGAATTACTTAATTTGTGATAAACGAGGACCCTTTCCGGCCAGCAATGACGTTTACTTCATGATTTTACTTTATGTCTATCATAGCACTATGTATTTGCTGATCCTGTAACTCTTCAACATGACTATATTTCATGCTGTATGTATATCATTGCATTTTGTAACTCGACTACACACGAATAGGCTCATCAAGGGTTATCGCCCGTAACAATATACGAAGAGGATATACACTATGCAACACAATATTATATTATAAAATATAATATAATCTAAAATACAATATAATTTAATACAATATACAAAGTCCACTATGCTGGATCAACCCCAGTTGACTGGCGCGGTGTGAACCTGCCAGTAGGTGTGACGCCAAACTGCCTTATACAAAGTAGGCTATAGTTGTGCAATTCAAACAGACTTTGCCGTCACTTGATCTGGCCCCCATGCCCGTCTGCCACGGGAGTCCGGAAATGTTATATTGGTGCAACCTACTTCGCACGATGTAACACCAGACCCCGAAAAAAAACGCTATTACTCAGACATCAAACTAAATCCATCCAAGAAACAACAGTTACGTTCAAAAGTAAATGCGATAGCTCCTGCGGAGAAGGTGAACTGTCTTCCTAAAGATAGATATCACACAGGTAGGGGTTTCCTTCATGGAAGTTTCCAAGGCAGTTTCGGGTATCGAGACGATTGGTTTGTCCAATAAATTTTCCGATTGAGAGCAACGACCAAAATCGTGTCATGACACTTCTACCGCCCGATTTCGATTACGTCCACCGTATGCTCCAAAACAGGTTTGTGCCGAGACGGTGAATTGCGCTGGCACTTGGTACTAGAATTTCACAGCATCTACCACACTCTCGCTTCCTTCACTCATCTGTGCTCGGTGTCAAGAAGGAGTATAGGGGTCTAAGTATTGTGTGTACTCGGGTCACTACAATCCTCAGGTCGAATCCCAGATTGGAGGTGAAAGGCAGAAGTCACCAAAAGGAGTGGTTTATTGTGTACAGAACTCCCTATT